CTAGAATAGAAAAATATATTCTTCTAGAAACTTAATCAGCTATTATGCTAAAGGAAATTATTAAGAGTTTATGGCCTCAGTACCTCCAGTGGCTGCTCAGTGCCTTACAGGATGAAGCTTTGAATAGATATAGTCTAAATTTTCTGACTTCTAACAATTAATTGCTTTACCTTGGATTCTCCTCCACCAAGCACATTTACCATCACTTCCATAACAGTCTCATGCATGCCTAGAGCTCTCATGAGATTTGGATGTTGGTAAAATACTTTATTATTCATGATGTCTCTAGAGGAGAACAAAAGAAGAAATTGGATTAAAATGTTATGACCAATAGTTTACTTGCTATATGTTATTTGCAAAGCTGATTTACTGTGCAATTCTTCACTATCTCGTAACTTACTTCCTTGGGCATTTTTCAGGTTGAATCTCTATCAATCTCCTGTTACAGATACTCTAAATTTTATGCACATACAGAAAGGACCTGACCTTTCTTGTACCATATTATAGTTATTGCCCTTGCCCTAATCACCACTTCACATATTCCATTCCAGATCTAAAAATATTTCCTGATGAAAGCATGATCAAAACCGATATATTAGCTTAAACTTTAAGTTCAACTAATCTATATTTTCTGGGGGGGGGGAAACTTCTTTTCAGAATATTTTCAATCTTTAGACATTTGACATCTGCCATCAAGATCAAGAAAAGATGACTGTACAGCAAAAAGAATGCATATGCAAGCTGTCCGCTAAGCATTAAAGCACCAGAAATATTAGCTACAGAAATGATAACATTATTTCATGAGTCACCATTCAAAAGAACATTCTTCTTTCTTCTACATACTTCAGCAGAAAAGATTTAAATACTTGAGAATCAATCCTGAAGAGTATAGTCTCAATATTTTACGCAGTGGTGGTGATGTCCAATAAAAATGTACATTTCAGAAGTAATGACATTTCTAAGATTGTAGTAAGTCTTGAAATCACATGCAACCCAGAAATAAATGTGAAAGCAACCAGGTCATGGGAGAAAAGTACTAGAAAGTCACTATAGGAAATACTATAGACAAGTGTTCAGATTTCACTGTAGATCTCACGATAGCCTTTTTTCCTCAGCTCAAACTTCTGGGTTCAGGTAAGGAAAATTTCAGTATCATAGAAGAAGAGAGGCAAAGAGATGGATCCATTATTCTAAAAGCTATAAATCCACAACTATCATATAATAGAATGTACATACATCTGACAGAGGCAGCTCTCTCTTTCAGTCTTTTATCCTCAATAAATTAGAAAGACTAACCGGTCTTTTTCCTCAAAGCTTCCACTAAGACTTCATATCACAAGTGATACAGGATGGGCCTTGCCTCCAAAAGCTATTCCTACCACATCTCCTTTCTGCATTAACACTGAATTCTGTGGAAAAATACCTGTTTACAGAAAGGGATATAAATCAAATCTTAAAAGGTAATCCGGACTTGGACTGGGTGAGCTCAAGGATGTCATTCTTCCAAGCAATCCTAGATTTTTATTCACCTACAGCAGCTTTCTTTTACAGAAATAAAAAGGAAAGAAAGTAAACAGGGCACCTTGGGCTGGCCAGCAACAGTACAGTATTTTGGAAAATATATCCACTTTCAGTGCTTTCTGTAACTGCTGACGGCATTAGAAAATATCACATCCCAGAAAAATTCAAATAGCATTTTTAGGAGTTTTAGGAATGAGAGATGCTTTCTCTTCTCAACCAGAAAAAAGAAATGCTTTCCACTCAGCAAAAAACTTGGCATTTCTAAATAGGCACTGGAGCCTAGATTAGACTACAGAAGGCACAAATTGCACACCTGGAGCGTGGTGACAAGATGGTCACAACTATGATAGAAGCTCATAGTGACAACAGCTCCACAAGAGTGTCAAGAGGGTGAAAGCAGCAGGCAGAGGAGAACACTAGCTGAACAGAAAGTACCTCTTTTCATCTTGCACCAGACTTTCACATATCACCAAAAACTGTTACAATTAAATCAGCCTGTCTGACAAGCTCTTAGCTTCCAACATATAGCAAAAATGATGAGAAAAAAAATATACATAAAAAGAAAGAAGAATATGAAATGAGAACCACTCTGATGTTTTCATCAGACACAACAGTGGCAGAATTTTGTAATCATTCACTCATTTTCAGACTCAGGTTAAGTGAAATATAACAACTCAAATTTGACACACAAAATTGGATATGCAAATCCCAGTATTTTGTGTATGGTCACAAGCAACTGACTTTCCCCTTTGCCAAAGCCATCAGTGGGCTACGCCAAAGCCTTAACATCAGCACACTGAACATTATAGCAATCAGGGAACATTGATAGGATCTGCTGGAAAGCTATCAAGCAGGTATTGTTCATCATGGCAGTGCAAAACTGTTTACACAAATCACTTGCCTATTTGAGGTTTTCAGTAAGCTCAAAAAAATATTTTGCACAACAAAAGTTTTTTCTTCTCCCTTCATTCCTGACACTCTTTATTAATGCTACCTATCTTTTGCTGTAATTGCTATTGTTGACTGGGGATTTCTAATACGCCATAGCTGATGTTTCATTTCTCTGGTCGTCTTGGATAAGAAAATTCTTCTGAAAAAGGCCAGAAGAAACTAAGCTCTTTCCTAATAGAGCTGATCGTATTTTCTTTACACTGTTTTCTTCAGCTGCATCCTTTATTAGGCTATATTTTAATATTATTAACCATATAATTAGGAAAAAGAAGACTGAGTAAAGTACATCATGTCTACAAAATTCCATTTGCTGACAGCTGGAGGAGGTTGTATGTGTCCACAATCAGCAATCAGTGCATTCATATAAAACGGACAGTATTCTTGATAGCACTCTTTACAATCGTAGTACTTAAAATATGATAAAAATATATATTTCTGTAGTATCATAAAACATTACATATGTGTTTTCAAATGTTATGAGAAGTCTTATAGATGTCATTTGCAACTCTCCAAAAATTATGCAGGTAATAATGCTACAAAATATCTTACAACTGAAGATACTACATAACTGACAGGAAACTTCTGCATTTACCTATATATAGAATATTTACATTCAGACTTGATGCATAACTTAGGTGATGACTATACAGCAAATAACAATAAATATTTGTAAATTAAGATACGCTACACTCCAGTCATTTACCCTAATCCACGAATCATAAGTTTTTCTTCCTCCTTCCCCATTCTGACACTGAGCAGGGAACGGATTTGGCCAAGGGATGCTAGCAGATTGATTGTGTCTTCCACTGACACGCTATTTATGGTGTAGGTCTTTGGTAGGGCTCGAACCAAGCCACCAATACCATCATATTGGCGATGCAGCAATACAAACATGGCCCTCACTAACTCCGGATCTTCTATTACTGACTCCTGGGCCCAGCGTACCATTGTGTCTGAAATCAACTGCTGAAGAGTAGCTGTGAAGAAAATACATAAAACACAAAATTACCATTAATGGCTCATATTTCTACCAGTAGTCCCTCAGAACCCATTGTGCAACATGCACTGGAATGAATTCAATCCTTAAGAAGTACTTTTTCTTGGTATTTCTTTAGCAGACTATCAAATAAAAATATAATCACAAAGGGGAAAAATAAACATCTCAAAAATGAAAGCCTATATTCAAAATTAATATATATAAAATCTAGATCTGATGACATAAAAATGGTGAAGATGTACAAGATGTTCACAAAGTGATTTATTTCTATATACTGTTTTCAAGAATTTTCCAGGAATTCAGGTCTGCAGGTTTTTCACATGTACTAAGAAAAGAGGACAGGAAGAAATATACAGTAGCACATGTAAATGCTGTATTATTTATTTCCAGTGGGCCCATCTTAAGCTGTATATCCAGTCCAATTTTTAACTTTACAATGTACAAAGCAGAATAATTTAATCCACTGCCAAAACTAAGGTCCCTTCAAAAGAAATAGAAATGGGGAGACTCCACAATTTCCACTGTTAAACTAAATCAACTGAAAAACATCATTTGGATAATCTGAGTTGAATCTCTAATGAAGCAAGACACCCATATCTGGTATGCTCACTGGCAGTAATTACCCATTACACAGCTTTGAGAAAATTTCAAAATCTTAAAACAGACAAAACGTTTTACGTCAGATGAGATTTGAGACCACTGTTTGGAAAAAATTCTCATGAACTAACAGTCAAGATAAAGTGAATACTGTTCTTTTTCCCATCTCGAGAGAATGTCCATTCAACTTTGTAAGACTTTGGCACATCAAACTGAGATCCTCTGGAAACATCGTGACAGTCAAAGCCTGCTTTACTTTTGCTTTGTTTCAAGCTGACGGTTCACATCAGAAAAATTAAAACAAAAAAAAAAAACCCAGCATTTTCCCATTAGCACTCACCTAACTAATCAATTTTTTCCATGTCACATGGATAACAAGGAAAGTTTGATAATCTTTGCTGAAATTCAATAAACTGCCTGACAAATATTGAGGCGCTGAAGAAGGTGGCTGATGCAGAGCACACATCAAAAATATTTTCAGATTAGATATCTGTGTGTTGAGAGATTTGGCTATAAACCAGATGCAAATTCAGTCAAAATTTAGAACACAAAAAAGTAAGAGTGCCCACAGAAAGATAACGACCGAGAGGTGGCAACAATTTACAGAAAAAAATAATGTTAACAAAGAAGGAAAAGAACTAACGCTAAGATGAAACAGATAACGTAGGAAAAAATATAAAAAGAGTAATAGTACTGCATTTCAGCGCTATTGTCCAAACACTGCACTATAGGTGTTTCCATTGTCACACAGCAGAGCATGTTTTAGAATAACATAATTTTAAAAATAACTAAAAGACAAAATGTGTTTTGGCTGATATTTCAGAAAATATTGGGACTGAAATAAATAATAATAGAAAGGGATACAATGTTAAATTTCCTTCAGGCTCTCAGTTGGCCTCTATCTTCATAAATGCGCTAGTATATATGAAAGTGTATATATATGTATATGTATACGTGTGTGTGTGTGTGTGTGTGTGTGTGTGTGTGTGTGTGTGTGAGATAGTATACATGAAAAAAAATTAGGAAATCCTAACATATACCACCACATTCTGCACAGATGAGGTCTCTAATTATCACTGCCCATCTAGCTACTATAAACAACAAGTTTATAACTATATAGAAGGCACATTTTCAAGAGGTAGTATGTCCTCTTAAAGAACACTAAACCAACACTAATAACCGGCAGCTAAGCAGCCATTTCATTATAGATACTCTGGGGAAACGTTCTCATCTCATAACTTTAGGCAACATTACAAAGCAACGTTACATGTTGCTTACATTCAGCAACAAAGTTAAAAGGCCAGTCTCCCTGGGAATTATATGATGTCATCAATGAAGAAAGCCAGGTTTCTACCAGAGGCAGAATAGCTAAACTGTGTGCCCAAAAATGTCTCCCTGCTAGTAGGATGGCAGCATCAAAAATTATTTGAAAGTGCCATCACAATAAAGGCAAAAGACCCGCAATCAGTCGATCCCAAGTGCAGAACTTGGAGGTCACTGACAATGACTCTTACAAACCTGTAAAAAGGCAGAAGGTGTCAGAAAATGACAAAGCAACAATCACAAACAGCACTTTTTGAATTTTAGGTTGAGTGGGGAGGTTTCCTTTAAGTACAGCAGTACAAATTAGGGTCTAGTTGTGCAGTCTTCTTCCCTTTGGCATCCTTCATACAAGTACTCAGTTGAAGCTTCTACAGCTAGTTTTATAAGCTAGTTCCTAAAATTAGGATCCTGCTATAATTAAGTCTGCAGTAATTGCACAAGGAGTAAGATACATCTGGAAAAGTCCGTATAAGAAACTTTCCACTACATGCCACTGGGAAACAAAATTGTCTACACTAAGCATTCCAGTTAAGCTTGCTTAAATTCAGAGCTACAAACTTTAAGGTGCACAGATGTTTCCTTAAAAATCTGTCTTGCTTTGATAGATAATATATGAAGAGCTTCCTTGCCTGCTTCTTTTCCCATCTGGAATTAGGATAGACTAAACTGTAATTTAATTTTGCTTACAAGATGTCTTAGCATCATCATCAACTGGCTTCTCAGCTTGTTTCTTCTTCAGATATGTGACTTTTTCCATAAGGTATAGAAGGCGACCCCTAATGGTTAAATCATTGTTTCCATCCAAGGTTCCATCGTCATCTAGTTCAATTCCTGAAATCAAAATCATACACTAAATAGTAAAAAAAAAAAAATTTAAACCAGTTACAGCCATGCTTGTATGTACAAACATAATCAAACTGAAAAATGCTGTTCTGCTCTGTTACAACTATAAAAAGGCTTGATGTGTGATATGCTCAATGAGTAGTTTGGAACAAGTGCAGATGAGGCAGATGTGCAAGGTAGTAAACAAGCAGATAAGGATCATGTAATCAAATGTTCATTCTCTTATTAACTTAATTGTATAAATTCTTATTAACTCAGTGTATAAATTGTGTACTATTATTCAAAAAATACATAATGTACACATTTCTATGCCCAAATCCCTGATTTAAATCTTTATTAATGTGATCCATACCGGCTTTCAGTGAGTTTTACTTTCCCCATCACCAAAACGGAGAGAAAACTGGTTTCTTAGTCTGCATCTCTACTAATAAACATAACAGGCCCATGATTATTCACTGTCTGTGAAACAAATGGCACAGTATGGCTGGCAATCTTGCAGTTACACGATCTTATAGTACCAAAATTAGGATGGTGTCATTCAAACTGCCAACAGGAATGCTCCTTGGCCCACGCTCACCTCTGACCTATGTGAAAGAGGGTGGTTAGGCTGAATCAAAATTATGCCAAGTCTGTGCTAACCATTTAACAGCGTGGATGTTTCCATGTCAACACTCAGGCCTATGTGCTGGACTTGTGTAACTCAGCAGTACAGATACAGTCTCTAGGGACATTGCATAGTTCAAATGATACTAGCAAAGAATACAAGAATTTAAGGTGAAACATATCAAAGAAGTAAAAGTTCTGACATTACTCTAAATGTAATTTGTAATGACCAGTGAACAGGAAGTAGCCATCTTTATAATACAATGGCTATTTTATATGGTATATCTTATAGCACATTATACACACATAAAAATGCATATGTAAGGCTTTACAGAATCAGAATGGCTGAGGTTGGAAGGGACCTCTGGAGATCATCTAGTCTAACCGTCTCCTGAAAGCAGGTTGTTCAGGACTCTGCTGAGACAGGTTTTGAATATCTCCACAACCTCTCTGGGCAACCTATTCCACTGCTCAATCAATCACCCTCACAGTGAAGTGTTCTCTCATATGCAAGTGGAATTTCTGGTGTTTCAGTCTGTCACTCCAAACGTGGCTTCACCATTGCTGAGTAGAAGGGAAGGATCACCTCCTTAGATCTGATGATGATGCTCTTCCTAATGAAGCCCAGGATACGACTGGCACCCTTTGCCACAAAAACACATTTCTGGCTCATGTTCACCTTGGTGTCCACCAGGACTCCCAGGTCCTTTCCTGCAAGTCTGCTTTCCAGTCAGTCAGTCTTGCACTGGTACATGGGGTTGTTCTTCCCGGGTGCAGGACTTCGCACGTGCCTTTGCTGAACTTCATGAGGTTCCTGTCACCCCTTTTCTCTCATGTTTACAACTTTATTCTTTCAGATACATTGCGACTGAAACAAAAAGCCTGACCTATACCCAATGCTCATACTAAAATAAACCCAAAGTAAAGAGGTCATTCATTTATTTTTTCTGTTCTTTTTTCCCCTCCAACTTAAATTCTAAGGTTAAGGTTTGTGGGTCCTTTTTAGTAGTCTTGACTGAATCACATTAATTGTTCCCCTCAATTTCTTGCATATCTTCATGTAGAAATTCTATTGCTTTGGTTTAATTGTCTGATTTTTTTTACATTAAGTACAGTCTCATTTCAAGTTATTTTGTTACATTTTGTCCTAAGAGAGTAATCAGTGTTAAACTAAATGACCATCAGTAATGTTCTATTTTACACTTATCCATATTACAAAATGTTTCAGACGGCAGCTTCTTCAACCAAACTAATTAATAGTAAAGACACTGAAATGTCTCTTCAATTAGAATATTTAGATGCTGTGGAATTACCCAAATGAAATGTCTGTTTTCCCGCAGTTATGCAGTTCCCTGAGCTCTTGTTGTACTTGTCTGATTTGCAAACTGTCAATATAATTGTCTTTCAACCATTTCACAAGATGTGAATCCCCAAATGGTGACGGACTAATCAGCCAAACATAGGATTCAGGATGTGTAATTGTTCCACTTATTTTGCAATAGCCATGTTTTGAACACATACAGAATTAATTTTGTTCTACTATAATGACTCTTCTGATCAACAGAATTAATTTTATAGTTGTAGATTATTCAAACTACTAATTCTTCATAAAGGAGACAAAAGAATAATACTGACAAAACTAAACCAAGTAATCTGAAAGGAGAGAAAGATGGTTAAAAAAAAAAGAAAAATGTGAAAAATCAAAGAAAGAGGAAGTCTCCATCCCTTTCAAGTGTTATTTCTAAATTCTTTATTTCAACTTAGTTTTTTGCCAACGGACAGTTCACTTCGAATTTCCCCTTCTTTTATCATTTAAAATAAAAATAGTTCCTTTGAAGGGTCATAATGCACCTACATCAAGTTTGTGGATGACATCAGATTGGAGGGGGAGTGGTAAATACACTGAAAGACAGAGAGCCCAACAGGCTAGAGGAAGGGGCTGACAGGAACCTCATAAGTTCAGGAAGGTCAAATAAAAAGTTTTGTACCTCAGAAAGACCTGACCCATGCAACTGTACAGGCTGGGCACCAATGGATAAAAAAACAGCTTTGCAAAATAAAAAAAAAAATAAAATAAACCTGCGGGATCCTGTTGTACAGCAAGCTAAACATGAGTCAGCAGTGCACCCTGACAAAGGTGAGTGTTAGCTCACCTGCACACATGCAAAGGAGCACAGGGAGACAAGAGCAGGTGGTGAAACCCGAGTAACACTCTGTCCTGGCCACTCCCAGGCCTATCACAGGAGAGTGAGCAGCCTGTCAAGGGCTCATCTCCACAAGCACAGAAGAGCACAGAGGAACAAGCACAGGGTGCCTCTCCACAAGCACAGGGAAACCCAAACTACCTACTCAGACATCTGGGCTCCTCTTGGGACTGTCCCAGGAGAGCATCAGCCCCATTGTTCAGGTGTGAAACCCTGCAAGATGAGCAAGGCGAGTGGCTCTCTGGAGCACCTTTGGGACTAAGGGAGGTTCCTGTCTCCAGTTATAAGACACATTATAGAATACAGGGGAGAGCATTTCAGGATTGTGCAATACTTACAGGATGTTTAGGGTGTGAAACAAAGGTTAGGAAGGGAAGAATCTAGGTGATTTGGCAAGGAACAAAAGTGGGAAATTAGAGGGATAAAAAGATAAAAACCGCCAGTCACCTGTAAACAGAGAACTGGTCGGTACATTTGTCTGGCCAAGCCCTACAACTCCTCAGTGCAGTCTGTCCTATCTTCCCGTTAAACTCTTCTTCTAACTATTTTCCCGGGTGAGGAACTCTATTCTGCTTGCATGAGTGCGTGTGGAAGTGTAAGTGCCAGCAATTGGAGTCAGATCACAGGTCATAGGGGCCCACGTGTCTGTGGGGCCAGTAACTGCAGAGACCAGAGTGTGTCAAAATTAAGTGACAGCAACTGGAGTGAGGGAGGTATGCAAGCTGGTGTGTGATTGCTAGCACTTATCAAGCCAAACTAGCAGGCGAGACAGGCAACTTTGGAGCCAGATACATGTGTGTGTCTCTAAAGGTGAGACCACAGGGGAGTTGGCTACCAGAGGGACCAGTGAGTCCCAGCCAAGTGGCAGAGAGACTGTAGGGTCCGGGGGCAAGGATGTCAACTGAGAAACCCATTTGTATATGGGTCTGTGTCTCTAAGGGCAAGACCACAATGGAAGTTGGTTAACAAGGGGACCAGGTGAGTCCCAGGCAACTGCCAGGGACACTGTAGGGTCTGGGAGTCGACTGAGACCCGTGTCTGTGTGTATACGTGTGTACGCGTGTGTGTGCCTGTGTTTGTCTCTAGAGGTGAGACACATGGGAAGAGCAATGATCCAAGACCAGCCACCAGAAGGATTGCATGTCCAAGGCCAGCTACTGGACGGTGAGAGACAGAGAAACAGAGAGATCAGGTATCCAGGAGCCAGGTACTGGGTAGACTATTGGAGCTATTGGAAGGATCTACATCATACATATGTATATAAATATATTCCACTAATGGACCTTTCTCCTGATCAGCCAGAGAGGCTAACAGGATCAAGCCACTGGTGGTGTTTGTGTTTGTGTGAGTGCTGTGTACATCTGTTGGGGTTGATCTGTGTGGCCAGTTGGGTATATCTGTATATGTTGATGCATACGTATGTTTGTGTGCATGCATACTGGGAACACATGCTGAACTTCTCTGCTGGTTAGATCTGGCAGCACGGAGCTGCAGCAGTCTCACCTGTCAGGCAAGTGGATTCAGCACCCTCCCTAACAGAGGGCTAAATATATACTGGGCTCTATTAACAAGAACATAACCAGTAGCTCAAGGGAAGCAATTATTCCCCCTTACTCAGCACATATTAGACCACATCTGGAATACTACATGTAGCTTTGGGCTACCCAGTATGAGAAAAAAATTGATAAACTAGAGGGCATCCAATCAAGGCCCACGAAGATGCTTGAGGACTGGGGCACTTGTCCTATAAGGAGAGGGAGAAGGAAGTGGGCTTGTGAGCCTGGAGAAGAGAAGCTTTCTGGGGCATCTAATAGCAACCTTCAAATACTTATAAGGAGATTCTCAAGAAAACAGAGCCAGACTCCGGTCACAAATAAAACAGGCAGGATTCCAAACCGACATGAAGGTTAAAAAAAAAAAAACAAAAAAACCCGAACACATAAGGAAATTCAAGTCCTGGAACAGGCTGCCCAGACAAACTGTGGAATCTGTGTCCCTGGAGGGTTTCAAGACGAAGTGCTGTGCAGTCAGGTCTGAATTCAGCGCTGACCCTGATCTGAGGAGGAGGCAAGAATAGAGATCTCCTGTGGTTTTTGACACCTTAATGATTTTGTGACTATTTTAGTAACAGAAACATCTTTGAGATGGACTCAACTAATCAAACATTTGTGATTAGTAGAATACCAATTATGCCTGTTCTACTAAAAGAAAGAAAAGTGTCTGAAGAAGTGCAAGAAAGAACTGTGCCTGTTCTACCAAGAAAGAATATTATGACATCAGATACGATGACATGCTTTTATCTATTTGTTTATTTTAAGACAGTGAAGTGACTCATTAAACATGTCATCTCCTGTTAAATGAGATCAATAATGGATGAAGAAAAAGTGCAGAGATCCTCCTGTCCAAAGTTCCTTCCTAGACCAGAATATTAGTTAAAAAATATAATCACACATCCCTGCATTAGCTTCTTCTAGCTCATAGGATATGATGTGGAAGTCGACCTGCCTGTCTGCTAGCGCTATCTGTCAAGAGTTTCTTTTATTTATGTTTTACAGATGGCGTACAGCAGTGATGTGGAGGGATTTCCTTCAAAAAGGAAAGCAATAAATCACTCAAAACAAAACGTAAATATGCATTCTAAACAAAATAACTGAATTTTCAGTATTCATGGATATGAGTTTGAAACTTAAAATCTACAATTTGTTGCTTAGTTTTTGTATTTTTGCATTTAAATTGTTGCTGTATTTCACATTTTAATATGACATGTAAGTTAATACTTCTGGTTTTTATTAATCGAATTGAAGAAATCTAAACTACGAAAATTTAACTGCACCTTTTAATTTTTCTCTGTTTCAGCAGACAAGATGATATATCCTCATTTGTGCCTGAAGAGAATGAACAACTAATATGATGTTATATTTTGGTTAATATGGCCATAGGCAATTTGATAGAGCAAAAATTACCTATATGAGTGCAAGGGAGAAGGAATGGGGCAAAGGAATTCATTGTTTATAAATAGGTGCACTACAGAGTCATCCAATGTACTGAACTCAAAGAAGTTCCCAAAGAGTTGCATGGGCGAAAATAATCTTTTTCCCTCATGAAGGAAAACATAGTGTATTCTCTCCTATTTTGACGAGATACGAGGATAAGAGCATTTCCATGTTTTATGACTGCATGCTGTATATCTTTATTGGACAGTATTTATTATTGATAAAAAGCAATCTCCGGGCTACTTAGTTGGGGGAGTTATCTACAATTATTTAGAATAACAACTTTTAAAGCTAATATAATTTAAAAAATAAATATATTCAGAAACAGGACATACCACAGTGTGCCATTAGGTCTTCGTGGAAATCCAAGAGCTGATCCCGAATTTCTTCAGGACAAGGACAATCATTTTTATCATCTTTAAAGTTCAGCAGCATATTAATCTTAAAACAAAGAATACAAAGGAAAAGCAGGCAATACTGATTTCCAAAGGCAAACCTATGAAATCAAAGAACTCTGCCACATACATAGCACAGGAAAACAATAAATGGTTCACTGTAAGCTGTACCTGTTCCTGAGGTGGGGAACGAAATTCTTTTGTTTTTCTAGCTGTTAGGGCAGCAGACATATTCAAGGCCTGCATCACTTCATTGTACCGGAAGCGCTGATTCTCCTGAAGCCTGGCCACAAAATCATCAGAAAATGCTACAATGGCTTCTATCCGGTGTCGTACCTGGCAATCACACAGGTACTGGAGTAGATGACACATCTGAGAAAACAGTATCAGAAGAGCAAAAAGAGTAGGCAAGCTAAGAAAATTGTGCTATATGTTACATAAACAAGAATGGATTCCTTACAGCAGCAGTTACTGCCAGATGAACCTTCTGAAATCCTCAATGCAGTCATCTACTGCATCTGAAGTAATCTGTAATACTTCCTATATCAGGACTAATTAATATCTGACTTGTAGAAGAGATTTATATGCCTCAGACCTAAAGGAATAGGAGTTTCATTTATTTGTAAGATAATGGATTTGCTCCTTGCTTCTAGGGAACTTCTTTGTGTCTGGATCCACAGAAATGCAGAATTCCCTGTTAACTTAACTTAGAAAGTGATTCTACTTAATGAAACAAGAGTTACTTGATGAACAGTACTCAACACAAGTTTATATCATTAGAAAGATATTAACCTTGTGGTTTCCTGTAAGTAAATTACTTCCGTATTCAAACAACATCAGACTTCTGTATTCCTTTAAAGAGAATTAGGATATGTGAAAACTGGCAACAACCACTAACCCAGAAGTATCGTTACCTGTAATTTAACAGGTTCAGGAAGTTTCATCTGAAGGAGCCCTTCCTTTGGCACTTGCTCCCCTTTGGTTTCTTCCTCTCCTTCTTCTGGCTTGAGCTCATCTGAACTCTGCTCCTTCTCTGACAAATCACTTCCATCCTCCCGACTCATAGCTTCTTTGAAAACCCGGGGCTCAATCAACTGCAAGATGTGTTTCAGATCCCCGTTATGGAAGATTCCCATAATTAGGAGAGTGTAAAACAGTTTGATGAGAGGGACAAAAAGAAATTCTGTAGAGCCTCCAACTGGATCTCTAACATGGAGGCTGCCCTCCTGAACAGCTTCAGTCAGCATCTCTATTGTTTTAGCCTTTAAGATTTCCAGAGGGAATTCAGGACTGAACTGAAAGCATTCACTGCTAATGCTTACAAAACTTGGGGAGGAGAACTGCATTCTTGGCCTTAAGGAAGTGCTAAGTCCTATACCAGGGAGGCCATGTTTTTTGTTTTCATCAGGAAACAAGGTAATACTCTTGGTCTCATCTGTCATTGGAACAATAAATTCATTATTCATCATTAACCTGGCAGTAGCATAGGTGTTGAGGTGGATGTCAATGAGTAAGTCGTAATATCCTGTACGTAACAATCCTGGCATATATTTGTTCTCAATAGCATACAGGAGCTGAGACTCATCCACATGGCTACACATAGCATGGGCCACCCGGTTGTTCCCTAAAGCACAAACAGCTGAATACAGTCGGAGAGTATGATAGTGAAATTTCAGCAATTCTTCTTGTTCTGTCAGCTCTAAAATATCAATTGTCCTGCAGAGGGTGAAAAAAAAAAAAGTAAATTCTATATCAGGCTAACAACTTATCTCAGTGAAGGAATTCAGAATTCTTTCTGAGTATAATATCATGTGGATGGAATTTTTCATTTCTCAACTCTCATGTGATAAACACTGTTAACCTAAGAATCATGGACCAAGAATGAAGTTTAGCTAGGTGTTTATCCAAGTCACTCCTAAATTACAACTGCAGTTACCCTCAGTGGGGAAAGATCCAGCCGTTGTATTTAAAACAGAACTCTTACTCAAACTACACACAAGATTCTGAATAAATGAAAATCATCTTTTAATCCAGTATGTCATTTACCATTTTTAGATCTAGGGTTGCACAATGACAGTAGACTAATTGGTTTGCAGGGCTTTTTTTTCTTTTCTTTTCTTTTTTAAGAATTCTTACCAAGTGTTTTTGCAATTTTATTTTCAGTCTCAGCCATTAGCACTATATTTAGACATTTAGGTAACAAGGAAATCTGAAAACTACATTTTTCCAACTGTTTCAATTTAATTTTGGAAAATTAAAGTAATATAATAGTTTCATTGTCCACATATTTTAAAGATCTCTCTAAGAAAAACAGATCTTTGTCTATCTTGAACGTTATCTTTAATAACTTAGGATCTCAGTTTCTCTTTCATTGTAATTTAAAACTCATATACACTGCTAAAGAGTTTAGACAGAAACTACTACAGTTTGGAAACACAACAAAAAATGAAGATTTTAAAACATCTTAAAATAAAATTAAATTAAATTGTAATGCTAGCTAAGTCAAAACATAGTTTCTACTTATACATGTTATACACACAGATAGAGACAAAAAGAGAGACAAGAACCTGGTCTTCTCTTACAGAGAAATTTATGGCATGTCTAGCTTTATAATCCCAACCTAGCCCCAGTGTAGTACTTTTGCATATAAATAACATCAACCTGTTTTCTTCTGGAATATGAAGGGCCATGAACTGCAAAGGATTCAAGCACTGTATCATCCAGCCTTGACGTTCACTGATCCGAGAGATGTCAACCTTCAGAAAGTGGTTTGGCACTCTGCTCCAAAGCACATGAGTCAGAAACTGGACATGGAGACGCGGAGGGCATTGAGAGACTGGGTTTTTGTGTTCACTTTTGAACAAGCCCGCAGATAATGGCATTACGTTCTAGAGAATTCCAACATAAGAGACAATCAGCTTCCTCATCTTTAGAAACAATGAATACATGTTACTTCTCAAGATAGATAGTCAATGGATAGTACAGTACTTCACACTGTAATAGGAGAGTAACATTTTCAGTAGTTTGTAAAACCACCTGCTACCTGCTGGCCAGTTAGTGGCAAAAGAGCATTCTCCACATTTTTTCTAAAATAACTAAATATGAAATAGAAACTTGAATGGAATGCGTATTGTGATCCAATAATTAGCTTCCACGAACCAGAGATCTGAACTTTACCCTTCTCTTACCTCTTCTGATTTCTTAGACATCCACATACGCAAAGCAAGAAAGTCAACTTCAGCTGAGTTTTCTTATGCGTACTGTTTAAATGCATCTTAAAAGTCTTTTAAAGCCTAACCTACTCTGCAGAGCCACCAGTCATCCGTGGCTTGGTTTATAAAATACGAGATTTGTCTTACTGACCTCAGAGCCTGAAAGCAATTTATGTTACCTGCCTAATTCAGAAACATCTGGTTTCATCTTATCATGAAGGATGAGATGCAGAAACTTCCTCAGGACTTTGCAACATCCCCTGCCCATTCATATCAGTTATAATCCTTCTCATCCTACATACTATATTTTAAATACCCTATGTACTATATTCTAAATACGTGAATTGAGTTCAGCATAAAAATGACAACAGTGCAAACATCTGGACTCACAAAAATGTGCCCAATAAGAACACACTGTACAACAAATGGTAAAAATCAATGATTACCTGATATGATGTATTATTACTCCTAGACTTGCACAAAAATTAAGCATCACTTACCTTTATTCTTCCCAATTCAAACTGGAAAACATTGGGGCTTGTAGCTTGAGCAAATACAGCAGGAAATAACTTAGTACTTGGTTCAACCTACATGAAAGATGCAAAAATACATAACCACTAAAGACAGCAAAATACTATTCAGTATCAGACACCCCCCAAAATTCTGCACTGACTACCAGTAAGTGCAGGCTTTTGAATAAAACTCCAGAAAATCCTAACAGGAGGGAAAAATCACCATAACAGTTGCAATTACTTTTCTTCCCAACCTGGTAACATACATACTACTAAAATTCAATCTGAGGTTTTTTGTTCCCCTCTCTCCACTGGAAGATGCAATCAAAAAATACTCACCTGATAGTATGTGCCTAGTTCCTTGCCGTTAGCTGTGAAGGTCAGCAGACCACTGGCAGCATCAACCAAGCAACCAATCTCCAGCCCATTATTGTTGCGTCCTTGTCCAGGACTCATGCTCTCTCCTGCGCACACCATATAGCAGTTGCTGCGCTTGATACTGAATGACAAAAGACAAATTTATTTATGGGTATGTTGACTTTCTATAGAAGCCTAAAAATAAATTTGTGCTGCTGCAACCAATGGGGCATGTGGCTGAAAACAGCAGGTCCTGCCAAAATTCAATGACATCTAAACCTCATGATTGAAAAAATAAAAAGCGAAGACGACAAAACAAACAAAAGTTCAAGTCATTAGTTAAACTTCAAGAGACAAAACTAACATTGCAAGTTAATGTTTTATAACATTGAGTGTTAAGTATAATAATATAGAGTTTCTGATATGGACCATTAGCAGAAGTAGTGACAGGAGCTCTTCTTGCACTAATTCTGGCCTGCCCAAAGCCAAAAAGTTCCAAAAACATGGTAAGGGAGAATTCTATTTTGCACAAATACAAAACACTCACAGGATCATGTTCTGAATGACAGAAATTACATATAAAAACTGTACTACTCTTATTTTGTCTATTAATTTTGCTACACCATTCCACTGATCTTCACAAGCCAGAGGAGAAAACAGGTTATAAGGGAACTACACGAGTCTGCACTTCTTGTTTTTACAGCTTGTTATACATCAATCCAATTCCATTAAGTGGAGTAAAACTACAGTTCATATAGCTGTTAGTTGCTTTCATAGATATAAAATACACATCTTTCTAAGAAAATCGTAACCAACCTCTCATGAACCTTCCCCTTTTCATCTCCCAGTGTAACTGTGACAGTGCGCACTCTGTCCAAATCAAAGGTTGTGTCATACTGATGAAAGTCAGATGTAATCCAGCCTACCCAGACATTAGCCGGTTCTTGACCAGGAAATATTCTCACTGAATAATAGTACTGTCAATAAAAACATCATGTTGCAAAGTGTTAATATTTATTTTCTATTGTATTATTTTGATTCAGAATTAATTTGCTGCTCTAGAATCTGAAAACGTCATCTCTTCAAAACTAGCATAGACTTGTTCAAGTGCAATTCATGAGACAAGCAATGTAAGGACAGCAGCACAAATCAAAATAGGGTCAACAAAAATAGCTATGTTAAAACAAAGGGAAAAAAGAAAACAGTACAGATGCAGTTACATGCTTGCGTTGTAGGCTTTTGCACTGTAGCATTGAAGACTGTTTTTGTATTACAGCTATGATTTCTACCCTGCAGATAACTGGCAGCCTGTAGTATGCTAATATCTTTGGAAAAGAGGAGAATAAAAATGGAAGAGCTGTATTTTTGCCTTCAGACACTGCAGAGTGAGTGCGTATGGAACTGATCTTGTCTGGGGAAAGGCACTCCATATCTTTACTACTTTCATCAAGTATTCCACGACACAAATGCTGAATAAAATTAGGATGGAGGTGTTCAAATGGTCCTGAACACTGCTCTGTTGTTTTAACACACTGTGCATTTATTTTCCCTCTCTAATGCTCAGTGTTTCAATAACAGTTTCAAAAACAGATTCACTGTATTTACAACTCTCCATATGCAAATTGTTTTAGATTGACTATCAAGTCAAAACAAAATGAATGTAGTAGTCTCAACTTTACTAGTGCAGGACTACTGCAGAAATTTACGCTTAAAATTTGGCTGAAAATTACGTTTTCTGAAACTCTTAACGCTGCAAACACGCAGTTGTTCAAAAAAATCAAACAGCTGAAATACAAAACCTAGGTTACCATACCGTGGAAGTTTGCATCAAGTAATCATAGTCATCTCTATCATCTGCTAGCACATCCTCAGTAAGCCGTGCAGAGTGGCTTGTGCTATAATCAGGCTTTGTCCTCCTCAGCATAAATCTGTAATAAAATAAATAAAATCAAAATCTGTATGAAAGGCTGAGTAAATCAGTATAAATATAGATGAATTTTGCACTTACACATTAGCCCTGAATACAAAATATTTATAACATTATTTATTTATTACATTATTAATACATAACTCTATTCTCTTTACTACTTTCGTGCAGTTCAAAACAGAATACACTCTTCAGAGAATTGAAAGAGACAGATTCCTTTTTGAAAGCACTTAAATAATTTTTGATTAAACTGTATATTCAAAAGTCACTTGGAAGTTGAACCCTTCTTAACTTTGGAAAAGAAATCTAGAATTTTAAATTACTTTGATGCTTTTAAAAATTTCATCCATGCTTCCAGATTTATTCTGCATTTGAAATATTTTACAAAGTAAGTTTGGGTAAAAAAAAAAAAAAAAAAAAGTAGAAAAGGAATGGAAAGCTGCTGGTTGCAGTAATATATCTGGGCAAAAGCCCAGTGTTAGCATCTCCACAGCATCATCAAGTAGGTCCTTTGTTCATTTGATTATGCAAGAAAAGTTAGGGAGAACGAACACATCAGCTAGAGGATATTCTTGCCTCACTTAATGAAACAAGTGACCTAAGAAGCTGATATTCGCTACACACTAACATCTTCATCTTTTTGGAAGTTTTGTGAAAAAATTCTCAGGTCACTTCAGAGACTTTCTAGTTTTGTCAGAAAGGACTTCCACGGTTTTAGAGTGCATTTCATTGAGGATCTCAAAAGCTTCACAATGAATCTAATGATAGGTCTCTAATAAGTGGAGAAATGCTTTCAGATTTTTGCTTAATTTTGGTCAGTAGCAAAATGCAGATGATATAACTTAAGCATATGAAGGTTAACTGTCCCACTTACTGTTTTATCCAAATTTAGGGCAGAACTAGAGTAGAACCTCTGGAGACCTGACTGGCATTTCCTTCAACAATTCAAGAAACAAAATATGCCAAATGTGCTACTGACCTTTGCTTAAGACGTGAAGGTTTTTCTTGAGCATAATCTTTATGGTTGTTTAACTCTGGTCTTGTGGCATCTTTTTCTCTTTCACTCCGGTCAGGCACTAGATGACCATGAGCAGTTTTCATTAGAACCTCAAAATCAGAATCAGCATCATAATCCTCCAAGTCATTCTTAGGGCCAAAAAGACCAGTGCCTGGCAGCCCTCCTGCAGCTGTTCTGGAGAACACCTCAGCACATTCAATAGGCATACTTAATCGAAAAAACATAACGTCTGTTTTACTGTTCTGTGAACCAAAGGACTTCTGTGTGACCTTCAGGCATGGACAGGTATCTATGGTGCCATCAATTCTCATCACCTATCAAATATAAAAACGTATTTATTTTCAAGCTGATGCTTTTTTCCCCCCCTCTCAAATATTCAAGTTATATTTTCTTGGTATTTTAAATGGCATGGCATTTTAAAACAAATCAAAATTTGCAACAGTACACTCAAATAAATAGTAATCATGTACTATCATTTTAAGGGGAAATAAATATTACGCTACAGGGAGTGGAGGTTTTTGTTGTTTCTTCGTTAAATAAAAAAGCACTCACAAAATATAAATTCAATCTTGGGAAGAACACCTGAAAACAACTAATAAAGTATATATGTAAGACAAAAAACTCAACTACATTGTGATACACAACAATAGAAAGAAAGGTTCTATTTCAAAGGGGCTTTATGGTAGGCTTACAAGGCATGGATTCACTTTCATCAAGCTGCACAACTAATTGGGACATAATTGTTGACACAATTAACTCATAAATATTTATTAAAATCAAAAATAATTAGTTATGGAAAAATCACAAAGTGTGTGCACCAGAACACATGTACTTGTTACATAGAATGGCCCACTTTTGGAAGGTTTTCTTTTTATGCACAGGACTTTCACTCACTGCACAAAGAGTTCTTAATGAGGACATCTTGCAGAATTCATCTTTGATGTACACACATGACAAGATTTTATAGATGAAAAGATACAATGAATGAAATCATTGTTATTTGCAACTCCACAGAAGGTAACAATTCTGTAGCAGGTGTAAAGTATGTCCAGAATAAGGCTAACATACCATATTAAAAACCATGTCTACAAGCGCAAAAGCAGCATTATAATTAAAGCACACTCATGGAAAAAGTGCCTAGAAACATTCCAAAAGGGATCACAAACCTCAATATGTTCATGGTTTAATGGCACTGGTAGGAACTGAGGGAGCCTTTTGCTCAGCCAAATGGTGATGTCTCTGTTTGTATTAACAGCGAAGGGCTCATACCCTTCCTGTAAGCCACAGATAGTGAAATATTTCAGAGTGCTGACATCCTTTCCAAAGTTCATTCTTCCCACTTGAGATAAGCCCAGGCTGCATACAGGTAGAAACCCTTAAAACAAGAAGAAAGAACATGTGGGTTATACATCACAAACATCAGTGAATCGATTTCTTCCCATAACCCAATTAAAAATTATTTGGAAAAAATGCCAAAAACCCAACAGTATAAATGCAAGCAGTCATCTATAGCACATCACCTCTTATATAACACCAAGAGTCTTAAGAAGACATATCATTTTGAAAATACAGGTCTCTACTAGTTAGGAATCTCTTCATCCAGCAGCCAATTCACTTTACAGAAATATAAGAGAGAACTTCAAGGATTCTATCAACAAACACTTCTTTAAACTCTCTGCTAGCGTGGTAGAGTGTTGTCAAGTCTCATGATTTTACTCTGAGTCTTACGATATTCAATATTTCTCATAAAACTCCAATAATCATGGTCTTTTCAGAGAACCTCAAATATCACTTTAAAAGAAAAATAGTCCTTGTCCCAAAAAGAGCAAAGATAAAGTTAAAAATATGCACCAATATCATGCTGCAGAATAAAAATAAAAAATAAAAATCAGAAACTACACATAATAGCTTTTTATTTTTCATAGAAATTTTGTAGTATTGCAATTGGCAATATTATACTGTAGCTTCATGAAATTGATGTTTCAAAGAAAACATCATGAAAGTTACCTTCATGTTTGTATATATCTGTTCTATTATTGTTTCACTAGCACACGGAATTCACTGCTGTGCACAGAGTTAATGTAAAACCTTTGCGCTTCTTAAATAACCACTTTTTTTGCTCAGGTTCAGAATCTCAGTTTAGAAAACAAATAAAGTATCTTATTCCTTCTATTCCTCTCGGTCCTGATTTTGAGTTTCCAGCTATGAACAGTTTTGTAAACTTATTTGACCCAGTTACTAACAAAATATAACAAAAAAAACCCACTAAACAAATGTTAAGTTCATCTCTGCTTGTTTTCTCTTGTATCAACAAGAAATATGAAGCTCTATTCCATTATTCTGGCTCAGGTGAATAGACTCTAACAGGTATGAAGGGTATAAGGAGGAAATACAATCAGTTTTTTGCCTTTCTTGAGGCTATCTGGATAAAAACATGGCAGAACATCTCTTTACAACATGTTTTTTAGAGGCAAAAGCAAACTTCACAGGAACAAATGGCGCAGAGTCTAGCTGGAGGCCTGTAGCTAGTGGTGTCCCCCAGGGGTCAGTACTCGGTCCAGTCTTGTTCAATGTATTCATCAATCACCTGGAGGAAGGCACAGAGTGCACCCTCAGCAAGTTTGCTGATGATACAGAACTGGGGGGAGAGGCTGACACACCAGAAGACTGTGCTCCTGCACCTAGGGAGAAATAATCCCACGCACCAGTACAGGCTGGGGGTTGACCTGCTGGAAAACAGCTCTGCCAAGAAGGACCTGGGAGTCCTGGTGGACAACAAGTTACGCGTGAGCCAGCAGTGTGCCCTTGTGGCCAAGAAGGCCAATGGGATCCTGGGCTGCGTTAGGCAGAGTGTTGCCAGCAGGTCGAGGGAGGTGATCCTGCCCCTCTCCTCAGCCCTGGCGAGGCCTCACCTGGAGTACTGTGTCCACTTCTGGGCTCCCCACTACAAGAGAGACATGCCACTACTGGAGACAGTCCAGCGGAGGGCTACAAAGATGATGAGGGGACTGGAGCATCTCTCCTCTGCAGAAAGGCGGAGAGAGCTGGGCCTGTTCAGTCTGGAGAAGACTGAGAGGTGATCTCATCAGTGTGTACAAGTATGTGAAGGGAGGGTGTCAAGAGGATGGGGCCAATCTCTTCTCCGTGGTGCCCAGCAACAGGACAAGAGGCAATGGGCAGAAACTGAACCACAGGAAGTTCCACCTGAACCTGAGGAAAAACTTCTTCCCTGTGAGGGTGACTGAATCACTGGAACAGGTTGCCCAGAGAGGTAGTGGAGTCTCCTTCCCTGGAGATATTCAAAACCCGTCTGGATGCGACCCTGGGAAATATGCTCTAGAGGACCCTGCTTGAGCAGGGAGGTTGGCCTAGATGATCTCCAGAGGTCCCTTCCAACCTAAAGCATTCTGTGATTCTGTAATGCTCATTAGATCAAAGACCAGCTGTCAGTATCAGCTTTGCATTTTTTTTTCATTACAGATGCAAGCAAGATTCATGGTCATATATACTTGTATTAGGCATGATGAATCTAAGGTCATATGCTACATGTCACAGGCTGAAGTCTAGATTTTTATCTTAGCAGCAGGGCTCTTAAATCATGATGTACCAGCTTCTCATACTGATAACATGGATGATTTAAGCAGCATGATTTACATCCGTTCTGCTCATGAAAATCCAACATTAGACAGTAAAGAGTATTTTCCAGAGCTAAACGAAACAAAATCATATTATACAACTCATGACTAGAGAAGTTACACCTGCATAAACAGACATACAGTAACAGAGCCCCGCAGCTCTAGTAGGGGGAAATTACTAGGCATCCTGATGAGTTAAAGGAACCTATACACTATTACAAATATTTTTAAGCAAAGCCAATGAAATAAAGGAAATAAAGGATAGAGGATGAACTCTAATCACAGAGATAAATGAGAGGTATAAAAGACACAGCTATAGCAGATAGGAATATTTAAAATATGAGTGATATTTATCCTTCCTAAACAGAATGCTGTTAATTTTTCTACTTATGGGGTCAAAAAAAAAATCTCATTGATGCATTCATTCTTAGGAGTGAAGCAAGTAGCAGCTTTTCCACACAAAAAAATGTAAAAGAGCATTTGCAAGAATCCCTAAAAGAAAACAGACACACCCAGACCTAAATTCTTACATAGGTACATCTGTCATTGAAGTTATTTGATTCAATTCAGTATTTTCCATCAACTCTAACCGCAGCCAACATGAAATCACAATAATCTCTTTCTTCAATACCAGAACAGCACTGCACAGGTAACTAACTCCTGCAAGCAATCATTATTATACAGTAACTGCTCTTCTGTATGAATAGAATATAAATAGCAGTACCGTTCCTACATGTGGAAGCATTACTTTCCTCTCTGATGACACTGCGCCCTGATTTGCCAATAGCATACTCAAATGTCATTAAGGTTGTTCAAGGTTATTCCCTATGTGGGAAAGATATGACATCTACTTTGCATACTGTTCTTAGAAGACAGTAAGGAGCGTGCGGGTAAAGCAGTTATGTGTTTTGCTATGGAATATAAATAAACTTTCAAGATCTTTCCATAAACAGATATCCGGCCATTTCGGATACGATACTTTACAGATCCTTTGTAGCCCTTGCATGCTGCAGTCTACCTAAAAAGGTGATTTACCCACAGTCTCGTTCCTAATCTCCAGGTGTGTAATTGGGCTGTGCAGCAAAGGCTTTATTTTATTTAATGAAATAGTAAGACAAGTAAAAACAGTACCACCAGAAAAGTAACACTTACATTGTCTATCACTTATGGCAAAGGGATAGGACAGCAATACTTCTTACAACGTTCCCTACTTTTGAGAATATAGGATGAGCTTTGTGACGCAATTTGTCAAATACTCAGTACAAAGAGTAAAATTCACGCCCACAGAGAGAGCATATGTGGACAAAACAAAACTTGGGTTGCAGAGTGTACGTGTTCATACAGGAATATAAACTATGAGCATACCATAGCTATTTCTCTTACACAAGTGCATAATAATATGCAATTATTGTTGCATATCCTCTTGTTGGCAGCACAACGTAAGACACAGCTCATAAGTCTTGTAGTAAGCTGGCATACAGCCATATTTCGTCTTCACTGTTCGTAAGTAAGTTAAAACTGCAGGACTGATTTACTGTCAGACTATATCCTTCAAAGCTGAGCAAAGAGCTCTGACAAATCTTTTTTTCCTGGAGGGAAAAGCCACTTTCTGCAGCAGGACATGACATGCAAACAGTTCACTGATAAGTGACACGCAGAAAGGACTCAATGCTCTTAAATAGGAGCCATTAACAAAACCAAACCAAAGCCAGTCTAAAAAATGAAAGCTCTACAAAAGTCATATTTAATTTGGGTATTTTATATGTGTGTTTGTATGAACACACACATTCATATATACATCCCCCATATCATAAACCTTATATAAAATATTCATAATATTTATGAATACTGATCTGGAGTTATTAAATCTCAGACCACATAGCGTATGCCTTTGAAATCAGAATAGCAGGACTTATTCCAAAGGCAATCTCTTTTCTGTACACATGACACTAGAAAAACTTAATGTGAATTAAAGGGATTATGAAAAATCTGAGACATTTGACATTAATGTTAAGCCTATGACACAGTTACCAAGGCCTTAGGGCTCCATGTCCAATACAGAACTACCATTCTAGCTGTTTCAGGATCAAAAGAGATCTGCTTACATCTGATCCTGTGACAGGAAACAAGTACCACAAAAAATATCCTACTGCAATTTCATCGACTTTGAAATCAAAGTAGTGGTCAAACAGGCTGTCTTCAGAATCCCATTAAATTCTAATTCCTCTCAGAATTCCTCATCTCTCCAAGGGATTATACTGCCTGATAAATGACAGCAGTTGTCCAGTTATTAAGGAGATCAAGATGATTTCATGTCCTATACTACTAACACTGAGCCATTCAGGTACTCCTTTCCCTCATCATGTTACCACAGTATTTTAGAAAATCTGCAAGCAATGAAGTAACAGGCATGAGGCTAGAGACCTGGTGGCAGTTATCTCATTTTAAATCAAATCAAGAATTTCCTAATTCTTGTGGTATGCTAGAAGAAGAAGAAAATAAAATTTCTTCTTCCAAAGCACTTCTAAAAGGTAGAGTAAAATACTTCAAAATGTAGATGAAAGTGAAGTGGTTAAGATTCAGCAACTTAATTACTAGGTAAAAGACCCATCTTTTTCATGTATTATGGGAGTAGGGATCTGTAACCCAAAAGTACTATTTTGCAGCTACTGCTGTTCAAAAGATCGAACTTCTTCTCTCAGATATAGATAATCCATATATAAGACACAAAATAGCTACCGAGAAAAGTAACAGAAAAAGATTAAAACGTAGAAATATTTTTTCATTTTCTTTCTTTTTTTTACATTTCAATAGTTTGAAACTTAGGCAGTTATTTAGACAATATTTTGCACCTGTATATGTACCTATATGCACACAAGTATGTAAATTTCTAACAATAGATCAAATTTATAAAGAAAAATACTCTATGGCATAGAATCATTTTGAGGCCTCAAACACGCCCATAGCAAAGATTCTTCTTAAGGGAAAAGTTCAAGTTTAGACACTAACTCACTGGTAACTGGTGTCTGTCCCTATTCTGAGTGCATTAATTTACAATACCCACCCAGTATTTCTACCTGTTGCCCTGTTATACAAAATTCCAAAACACAAAATTTCATGTGGACGAGATATAAATCTTCAGTAAAATGTAGCTGTGGCCAGTGTCTAGGTCACATTATGACCCCTGTTTGCCACTGTAGCGCATACAGAACATGGCTCCAAGTTCTCAAAAGGCCATTAGCAGGAACAACCTATACTCAGTCATACACAGCTGCTATATGCTATGCTTATTAGCTGCTCCAGTCCTTGGATCAGTGCAAATCCTTCGATACTTTTCAAACACCAGAACTGCTTAAAGTTGCCTAGACCTCACATTGCCAGCCTTGCCTTCTGTGTTGAAACTCATGAGAGGAACAACAGAGAGTACAACCCCAAACTCTCTTCCCAGATCTGCCAAAAGTATTTAGCAATCTCATAAGGCACGATTTTGTGGTAAACTAAAGCTGCTTTAGGGCTCCAAAGGCTGGACCATATAGCAACAGACACAAAACTGCTGGTTTAGATTTACATAAAAATTTTTGGGAGACTAACTTTGTACCAGTTGGCTTTATACTGGATCTGGTATCATCTCTCCTCTCAGAGCTGAAAAACAGAAGTTTAAAGCTGGCTTAAACTCCCGACTGTGTACTCTCACTAATTTGAAAGAAATTTGATAGTGCTTCTACTTTTGATCTGAATTAAATTTATATCACGCAGTGACCTGCTGAAGTATAGATTAAATGTTGGTGGCCATAAAATCACAGTTCCAATGCACCCCTGCAAAAGGGACTCAAAAGGACTGATACCTTCAAAATTCCCAAGACCTTACTATGAAATCCTTGTTGCAAAAGACAGCTGTGAAGTTCACCATAAAAAAAGCCCTTGCCTCTTCTTCACATCTAGCATGCCTCCTTTCCAAATGCTGGATACTAATTGAACAGGGTAAGGGATAAGGAGTTAGTTCCAGGCTAGGGGTGGTCCTACAGGCCACAGAGAGAAAGCTAAGACAGCAGCAGAAATTTACCAGTGTTAACTTACTTTCTAAATTCACTGCCAAAGAAAGCAAAACATATCATCTTTTTAAGGATGAGGTAAGCATAATAATACACTCTGAGAGGCATATATTCTTCTGCTAATTTCCATCTCTCTAGTATTCAGGGAGAAACATGTCCTTCTTAGTCTATGGTGAGCATCCAGGCTTCTTGCTGTTATTGTTTGTATTTATTTATAGTATATGCAAATGTGCTGAATATGCCTCAATAAATATTAAGAGTATAACATGAATTTACAAAATATGTGTAAAAAGAGTAAAATTTAAACTTTGAAAATAAATTATTTTCAATACCCCTTAAGTTTGTTGTTAAATTCAACAACATTGTGTCTCAGAGCATCGCTCCAAAATGTAGAGCTGTTATCGGTCTATAACACAAAGCAGGAAGAACAGAAATTCTGCACTGAAAAACTTAATGCAATGTCCACTAAAATCAACTAAAAAGCTCCCAGTGGGGTTTAAAGCAATTTTCTTTTCCACATAGTTGGAACTCATCACAACAAGTTTGTTCTGTTGCAATACCGAGAGAGAGAGAGAGAGAGAGAGAGAGAGAGAGAGAGAGAGATGTAGAAAAGGGACTATGTCTTCAATTAACGACTATGGATTCACCACTGCATCCTAGAAAGTTATCATGATTAATAATATAATACGCTGACTGGTGCCACTGAACCCTAATGACTCTTTCCTGCTATGCTGGTACTATGTTAACTCTCCTTTCGAGAAATAAAGCACTAATTGTGTCGGAGGATATTACAAACAGGAAGAGAGAGCACATTTTTTGTGTTTCCTGAATACATTAATTTCTGTTTACATCTTATTGAGGGATAAGAGCATATTGTCAGTAAGCCAAAAATATATTATGAATTACATATTAAAATATATAAAAACATACACACACACATCACCTAGAAAAGAAATTAAAAAATGAAATCAAATTATGCCATGTCTGAGAACAAATCTTTATTGACAGAAACACTGTCAGATCTGGAAGATTCAAATCAAATCTAGCAGTTTTATCTTGGTTTAAAGGCATGTGAATACACACATATATTATCAAGCACAGTTGCGTTTTTCTTAACAAGCAGCACACTTTGGAATATTCAAAAAAATTACAGTCAATGTTTGCTTTCATCTAAAGCAAATTTTGCTAAAGTTCCATAAAGTTCCATGAAAGTAACTCTGGCAGGAGTAAAAGGCAGAGCAACAAAATTATACTCAACTTACGAGCACCAAAGAAGCTAATGATCATCCATACACTGCATTTATATAAAATAACTTTACTGCTACTAATTTTAATCTGTCCATCTCATATTGTTCTCAAGCTCATAAGAGCAAGTTACAACAACATATACTGCCCAACATACTTAAAGCTATACCAAGATATTTTGGCCAACCAAAACTACACACTCACTCACTCACAAAGAAAGAAAAAAAGGAAGAGAAAAAGAGAAAGGCCCACCAGAGGGGACACAAACAGAGCAACGACAGCAAGTTAACAGCACAATTTATTACAATACTCACCATCACCAACCTCAAAGTCTCTGAATGCAAGCTCCGAACCTGAGTCATCAAGCAGGATTTCACCATTCAAGGTGAACATCATAGTGTGTTCATTCATGTCAACCATACATCCAACGATATCTCCTGCCAACCAGGAACGGCCAAAATGCTCATTGCCCTGATGCCACCGTTGTGCCTGAAAAGGATTTCAAAGAATTTCAAAGAATCATAATGACAATGCATGTGTTACTCTCCCCTTCAGTGGTACAACTAATAATTAACTCCTTCAATTAACACGGTACTAACATTAACGCTTTCACAGCATACCATTCCAAAACAACGTCTGTGAGCACTGCAAGTTGACCCTGAAAATGGAAATTCAACAATTAGTTTTCTGCAAGTGCTCTTCACACCAGTACTGTAAAATGTTGCCAAGCGAGCTGACAGGGAAAACTGCTATTTCAACACTTTAGTAAAAAGAAAGAGCATGGCTTATTTTTATGCAGAAGCTCTATGAAAGGCTTGTAAGGAAAACAATATGCTATCAATTGCAAAGTTAAATAGCCGCTTTGTAAACTTTTTTTAAGCAATTGTTTTCATTTAATCAAGTAGCCTATAAATTCGTTGCTTCCAAACAAACGTTATTGTTTCTTCAAGTATAATTCTAAATATGTTTTATGCAATATAAATGAAACCTCCTGCCATACCAGATCTTGGAAGGAACAGAATTGTTGCGGACAGGATGAGCACTCTGCGCTTTTGAGAGATTCCACAGCAGCTGGAGGGCATGATTAATGCTTTGTATGACTGACCTTCAAGTCAAAGACTGCAGGGCTTTAGATGGATACCCTTAGCTGGGACCATGGAGTGGAATTCAGATAAATGAGCATCTATTACAAAGTATTATCATATGCACAAAACAAAGTAGTGTCAATAACAAAGAGCTTCCCCATTTTTATCCTCTGTATCCTTTCTCAAAATCCTAAAAAACAAATTTGCTTTGCTGTCTCTCCTGAAGGTTAAAAAACTTGAGCTTTTCTCCAATCAAGGAGAGAACCTGCCAAAAACCAAAGAAAATAAAATAGCTTTGTGGATTAAGACCTAAAGGTCAAGAACTAGGATTCAGAAGGTTAAAAACTACTACTCAGCTATTCTAGTAAAGATGTGGAATTTGAACCGTTATTTTAATCCAATCAGAGATTTTACAAGACACAGCTTTTCAGTTCTCCTTTTAAGTCATCTCAGATTGTGTAAAACTAGACTAGGAAAAAATGAAAATCTAAAAATAGGAATAAGAAACAGCTCAGAAGCTTGATCTGAACAGGCATAGTCAGGAATCCTATTAATTTCTGTTAAGTGTTGTAATAGTAATAAAGGAAATTAATTCCAACATCAGATACAAGGAATATATGGTAAACATTTTCATTAAGACATGAGTCACCGGTAGCCTTGATAGCAATTATAGTTTGGATAGCAGTTTCACACGCCTTCATACTAAAATAAAGAGTTCTAATGAGTCATTTTCATCTACTGTCACAAAAATCAGTGACGCATATTTCTGATATATTCTTACTGTTAGATTTCCGTCTGTCATTGTTTCACAACGACTGAAATTAGACTGAAATTACTGGTTTTATCATACTCCATTTATTCTAAACTATAAAGATTTTCATGAAAACATACATATATTCTTTGCAACTTTTACATTCCTAAAACAACTTGTATCAAAGTTTGGCTCAATTTATTGCTGTTAATAATGTTAATCATATTCATTCCCTAATGGCATTTCTCATACAGAGAACAGCAGAAGAAAAATTTAAAGAAATGATTCACAGTTAATCACAGTCCTGCCTTTATTTTGAATTTGGCTATGTCACTGAGCTTTTTAATGCTTTATGTGCACTATATAAATGCTACAAAGCTATGAAAAGAAAAGAATTATACAGACACCAAACACTGCCAATTAATTTCTCAAGTGACACTGATCTACAGCTTAGGCATTGCAATTTTCTCTCTTATTCCACCCAGGTCCTCAAAGAGACTGACAAATGATTTCATAAAACACAAATGAAAGAACAGAAAGCAATTAAGTTGAGGCAATGGCAGACAGAATAAAGAGCAAAAGTTAAGTGTTTGCAGTCACTCATACTATTACAGAGAAACATATACAAACCTTAAAGCCATCAAAAACAAAAGCTTCTTCATCTGAGCCAAGTTCCTGATCTGGCATACAACCTGGCCTGGTCCAGCCAACTCTCATGTCTCCTGCAGTAACTGCCTCAAACTCGAAGTACCACTTCCCAGCCTTCACTGCGTAAGTCTTTTCTGTGCGGAAGATCCTGAATTTTTCTATTATCCCACCGCACACATCTAGTCTCATTGCTGTGAGGTATTTAAAAAAAAAAAAAAAAAAAAGAAAAGTTCTGTATTCAGTGACTGACATAATGAAAGCAGAGAAAATCAAAGACAATCATACAGCCATGTCTTTTAAAGTATGTTACTTCCTAATGTTTTTCAGCAAAGTGGCATTTAGTAATGACTTTGAAGAAATGAAGACCTAACATTACATTAGTAAAGCAACCAAACTGTAAGGGGGATATCTTAGAAGCACAAGGGAAAATAATATGTTCATCATCGATTTATATGGCAAAAAAAATTGCTCACTCATCTTCAAAATACGGCCTACAAATTTTCACACAGTATTTCTGGGGCAAGTTAAGACAGTTTTGAGAAAGAAACGTTCCAAGAGCGAATTGGATTCTCAGATATTTAAAAGAATCAAACAAATCAAACCTTCTCCCCTGCAAAAAACAGACTAAATTAATCTTCCACCTATCATAAAAGGCAAATGTTTGTCTTGAATTTTCTCAACTATGAGAAATTTTCTCTTTGTTCAGAGACTGCAATCAATTCACTTAATCTTCTCATTTATATTCTAAAAAGATAGATTTCTTAATTAAGTCATTGTTATTATTTTCACTAAAAATGTATTACTATATTTACTGTTTACTAAAATAAATAATAAAAACGGAAGGTTGTAATTTAGATGTTTTTTGCAGAACCAATAGAGAAGGGAGTAGAGGAACGATAAAAGGGAGCAGTCTTGGCATGAAGCTTAAACAAAAATATACCAACAAACCAAAAAAATAAAGTAATCCTACTCCTATATCAGTAAAAATACATTATTTCTGTCAAGGTAAAGGGCAGCAAGCCCTGAAAGAAAAAGTCATTAAGAAACAAAAGTAAGTAGTGTTAAGGGCAATTACTGTAAATTACAGTTCAAGAACAAAGGAAAACAAAGTCACAAAAAAGGTACTATTTCAAAAATATTATTAGATAATGAAATAATAGAATTAAAAATATGCCAAGTTTGAACTGTATTGCCTATTCTCCTCTCAAACTGTCGAAGAGATAGTATGCACAGTCAGAAGAGCACAGGATTGCATAGTGATTCAAAAACTGCCACTTCTCACTTCAAAGTTGCTGTTTCTCAGCTGAGATGAAGAAAAGGAGTCGTCTAGTACACATTTCTTGTCTAGTACAATGGAGTATAAAATAAGTTGACATAAACAGCTGTGTGAAAATGAAAACGTCCACAGGCACTGATTAATTTTTTAACTACTTGTAACATGATCACAAATATTTTTATCTGATCACCGTTTACTGTGCTTTATTCCAAAATTCTCCCGAATGTAATGTCAAGTGATGCATAACAAGCTAGTTCAGGAGTCTTTTATGTTAAAAACCTACCCTTTGTTAAGTAACTATAAGTAATGCTTCTTCTCAAAGACCAATTTGGCAACTTTAACAGTTTCAAAGGAGGGTCTTAGCCTGAAGCACTATTCAAGAATATCCAGCAGAAGTCGCACTCTAAACTTACTCCTTCCAGGAAGTAATCATTGATTCTCCTACTCCATGAAAAAATAATGAGGTATAAAAAAGTTTTTACTGATAAATCAATACTGTTATAGATAAAATGTAAACTGAGTCACTGCTTGGCTTCTTTAAGGAGATAAGAAATCTCAAGAGAAAGGTAAAAATGTAAACATATTACTCTCTCTGTTTGCTGACAGCAGTAGAAAAGTGTTTAGTTTGTCCCTCACAATTCTGCATTATAACATTTGTATAAGCAAAGATGTTTGAAAGCATTAAAGTCTTTTTTAAAGGAGAAAGAGTATGCTGATGTATGAAAAGCTTCGAAACATGTAAATAGATCTATTATTTTCTCCTTTTTTCATGACAACAGTAACATTTTGGACTGGGATCTCTAATCTCTGACCCAACATCTATCCATACCAATTCTCTTCCGGGTTATCCTGTTCTTTCACTTCACTTTCACTCTTTTCCTCCGTAATATCACCATCTTCTGGATCGATCTGTTCTAATACAAATATACTTTTGTTTCTGTCATTTACAAAAATCTAAATCTTAGACTTACCTATTTCTCCAGTTCTCTTTTTTCCCTGTAGTGCACTGAACATATTCTCTAGAAAAACTACCTTTAGTGATCCATCTACAGCTATCTGGCTCTACCTCTATCTATGGAAGATGCTCTCAAAAAATTGCCTAAACACCTTTACTCATAAAGCACTTGAAAACTATTAGTCATGACCCTACTTGGTGCCTTTGTGATGGTCAGTCCTACAATCCTTTTTAATATTTTTTATCCTATCCTTTCCAGCTTTCTTCAATATTTTTGGCTAACCCGTAGACCAGGCTCCCCTCCTCTTCCTCTTCTGTCTTCCTGTAACAGTACACGGTGAGTTTTGCTCACTGAGCTGCCTCTCATTACTTTACACATTTTCTTTATTTAATATATTTCACTGAAATAGCTTCACGTACACCCTGTTAGTTGAGCACTTGCAATACTCCTTCATTGTTCTTGACTTGTGTCTTTTATGACACAGTCCTACAATCTAGCTATTCCTGACCTTTCTTTCCAGGACCTTACTATCAATTCAAACCATGCAAGGTGGCTAGAAATGACTAGATTATATTTTAGAAAGAGGAAAATGACTTCAAAAAGCACAAGTGATGCTGAATCAAACCCTTGATCTTTTTTCCCTAAGTTTTCTCAATCACTCTATTCTCTGACATTTTATACAATTTCTTGTCCTTTAATCAAACCCTACAACCCAGGGATCACTTTTTGACTCTTCCAGTTTCCTTATTCCAGATTAAGAAAAAGAATGCCTAAGGCATTCTGGACCTTTCTCCACAAGTTTGTAAGGTACCAGAACCTGTTTGACCCATGAAAATTCAATATTCCAGTCTGATCACAGTAATTCTTCCTCTTCCTGAGTTTCTCATAAGCTCAAATTTTGCTCTCCAAACTGTGTAAAGCGTGTTTGCACCTACCTGTCTATTGCTTAGAGCATGTTAAGAATCTCTCCCTTCATCTTTAATATTCTCAGCCACATCATCGTCCACATTTATAATCTTTTCTTGAAGAGCCTTTATAATCATGCCCCTCAGAACTTACTGTCACTTCTCATGCCCCCGAATCCTTAACTTGAGTTGCACTAGGCTCAGTGAATCTCTTGCAAGCAGCTCTGAACTCCCTGCCATGTAACTCTTTATCAGTGGAATTTTCCCTCTTTGCTGGTCTGTATAATTAGACCAGCTTTAAAAATCATTTCTAAATTCCCTCAGTTCCACAGCTATGCTAGAGATGAACTACCTCAGATCACAGTAACTAAGTATGTGTTGTCTTTTTAGGTTATAAGGCTATCTAGATTCTAAGGAACTCCTAAAATACAGCTGCTACTGCTAATAAGAATAATAATATAGCATAAAAATGAAGCTATAGCGTTTTGTCAATTAAGGTTAAAAATAAATTCATGAGCTAAGAAGCAAAAGACCACTAGAGGGCTCTAAATCCTTTAAAAACAGTACAGATTTTGGCTGATGAAAGGGGATCCTCACAACATACTCTGCACATCTAGAAAACTGAAGAGTCTCGTGAGCTTTAAATCTAAATCCCCAAAATGAGTACAAAATCTGTTGTTTAATGCAATGCCAGTTTCTGCTTAAGGAAGACCAGTTTGTGGGACGCTCCTGTACAAGTCCTGCTGCCTCTAAGAATTTTGCAACAGGACTGATGATACCTTTCAGTTGCAAATATGTTCTTTTCATTTCACCAGTAATTCCCTATACAGAACCAGCTCAAGGATCCTCTGCATCTGAAGAAAAAAATCAAATTTTATAGCAGTTCATTCTTAGAGCAAGGCAGGGGCACATTGTTGAGCGGAGTCAATCCCCGGGCTAGAGAGCTGTAAATGAAGAAAGGGGATTAATACGACTCAGAGAGCTTTGGGAGAGTTTGTGGAGAAAGAGCATGCTCTCTCTCCTTCTCATCCTACTCTACCAGGCAGCCCCTTTATCCTCATAAGATGCAAGAACCTCCTGTACCAGCCAACCCACCTTCTCAGAACCAAGCAGAGGCTGCAGACTCTTCTCATGCAGCATTTCCTTCCCAACAGTGGGAGGGGAGGGGAACAGAGTAGAGAATTTTTCACTACCCTTAAACTCTCCAGGACTAGGCACGGGCAAGCTTTATAATAAGATCATGGCTTTTTGCCACCAGTACAATCCACCCGGCCAGGAAACAGATTATTTTGCCTGTTCAGGAATACAACTTTGTCAATACTCATGGTATCAGTAACATCTCATATCTGAAGGAGGAACTTAAATAGGAGCCTCTCATAAATCCTGGGGAAAGAAATTGAAAAAGGCAGATTCCCTGTGTATGTCCACATTTTGGGTATGAGTTAGGTCTCCTGCAGAAACTCTTTACTGACAATCTGTGGCCTGAATAGGTCTAAATTTAAAAATACCATCACTTATTTAAAGCAAAAAGAAGAATCATTGATATCTATGATAATGTTTAAATGCATTTCTCAATGCATTTAATGCATTCTCAATGTTTTAGTGCATTTCCCCACTTTGCAGAGATTATAAAAATGCACATTTCCATTTTGATTTGGCTCTTCCATATTTCTGCACTTCCAAAAGCACTTCTAGCACGAGGTTACTGAAGGGGAATAAATGTTACTGTGTCCTTTCTGCATGTGTAGCTAGTGTTCCAGAATGACAGTCACAGCACAGTACTGAGAAAATCCCTCTCTCTTGTTCATTCTTATGACTTGACCCCAGCATGACAGAACACTGTTGTTTAAAAAGCCACAACCTATAAGGGAATCCATTTTATTTCTACATTATGTCTCCTGATTCTTTTTACTTTCTTAACATTTTATATTCTGCAGTTACTCAGAATATAAAGCAGTTGTATGCTGCTGCTTTAAAACTGTTCATTACAAGTTTACATAGCTTTCTTTCTTTTTCTTATTAAGATGTCACAAAGTCAAAGTATATATATTCTGAAAATACCGCCTGAGGTATCAATAAAACAGTTCAACTTCCAAGACCTGAAAAAGTCAAGGAAGCTTAAATGCTCTAACAGACTATCTAGTTCTATAGATCTGGAGTCTGATACTCATAGGAATTTTGTGTCTATGCATTTTGTCTTTGAAAAGACTATCTTGTATCCTAACTACAGTATCCTTCATTATTTACAGTTATGACTGTAGGAATAAAATTCATGTTTTCTACATTTACATACAATCTCTTTCTTAGCAATGTAGCTATCAGTCTTGAAATAACAAAGATAGTACTAAACAACAAGTTTTTAATTAAAAATTTCATTTCAGCTTGGGGAACTGTAGATGTTTATACACACATTTAAAATACATTTTATTTGTTGGCATAAGATTTTATATTGAGCAAGATGATAAATATGTTTTCTTGATTCTCTATATTTTAAGGTTGTCTCTTGTATTTACAATTTAAATCAGGATTGTAATTTTTTTACAATGTTTAAGCCTTTTAATTTTCATTCATCTTATATATCAAAGAAAAAAAAAGAACGGTGAAAAGAGGAGTATGAAATTCAGAGAAACTGCATCACTGACACCAAATGAAACCATTTTTACATTTTAAAATACCTCATTTGAGGCCACCAGACAACAAAAGGAAACAGTAAGGTAATTAAGATTAAAGGGGATTATAAAACCACAAAATGGAGAAAAGGCCTATCAGCTTTTGAGGCAGTATACTTATTGAGATAGTTGTATTGGACCAATAAATCTTAGTAAAGGGGAATATTCTATTCATTCTTCTTGAGGAAAAAAAATAATTAAGTACCATGATCCTGATCAGGAGCTTCCAGATTGTAACCATAGCCAAGAAGGGTGCGGACGGCTTCCCGGAGACTATCTTTGTTTGACTTCTTGGTCCGATCATCCAAAAGAGCGTAAGGGACAAGGCGAGGATTCCGTCGATTTTTCACATCCTGCACAAATATGGAAAATCAAAACAATTTCAGAAACCATGTTTTTCTCTTAAAAATAAATTATGCTACAGCAGCAGCACAAAAATTATGACTGAAGTGGAATCATGCAACACTGTGAATACAGCAAGGATTCTGAGATGTTCTAATGTTCTTGAAATTAGTAATAAAACTGAATTCAGACAAAAAGCAAATAATACAAAAACAGGAAACAGCATAGCTTAAGCTCTCTTTCATTTACCATCAAATAATCTGCTTAATTGGAATTCTATTAAATTACACCAATATAAACAACAAGAACAAAGATAAACGCAAACAGTTTGACTGAAAATTCTTGAAAAAGGGATTATCTTTTGTTCTCTGTTTATGAAGCAGCTACCGTAACAGGAACTGGGTATAGGTCTAAGGCTCAGACATTGCCACAGTACAAGTATATGCTATCTTTAAATTACAGAACAAAATATATGAAGAAAATATAAAATACTACTAATATAAAGAATATTAATAAATACTCATAATACTAATGAATAAATAAATAATAAAATAGATAACATACCCATGATCTTCTATGTTAAGTACTCAAAACGTGTTTTTCCAAAATCAAGGACATTTTTTATAACAATATGATTAATGTCCTTAATGTCCTGCAGAATTTTTGTAATCGGTAATTAAATGTACCCTACTGAAGTTCAAGCGTTGGGTAAGATTTAAACGCTGTTCTTCAGTTTTATTAACACAACATTGATCAGATTTTCCCAGAGTGCAACATTATCTTAATTGAAAGTGTTCCTTAACTGGATTACTTACGACTTGCAAGATTTTTAGTGACAAACAGAATTGGTTTTTTGTCTACTTTTTCTTCTCACATCCTGTAAGCATCTGTAGCCAGTGAGAGAAACCATACAAAGAACGGTCCCTAAGTGCTTGATTGTTTGTTTGCTTTTTAATTAAAGGCTGGACATACCAAAAATACTTCCCGTTTTCCTGGATACAAACAGCAAAGATGTTGAGATGTTTTTATTATTGGTTAAATATAAAAAGAAAACAGAAAGTAGTGCCTATTATTTTAGAAAACAGTGCCTACACTGAAAGTATCTTACTTCTTTTATAGCATTATCGTTCTGATTTTACAAATGTATGGGGTTTTCATTCTATACACCTTTGTAGCCAGAAGAGAAATGGCAGATTGATTCTCACAAAAGCAGGCATCTTCATAACGCTTAGAGACATAGCTATCTGTCTTTTGGTTCATTATGGTGAGTAAATATTAAAGTGCACTTATTAAATTAACCAATGTTTGATGAAATCTGGTCCCATCAGGAAATTTCCTTCTAGGAAAAGAAATATTACAGGATAGATACTACCTGTATGCCAAAAGGGCCATCAAAAAGACAAAAAATAATGCATTGCTAGGCACACAAAGTACTACACCATATCAGCTCTGGTTACATTCAATGGAAGGGCAGTTACACTGCCAGCATAAAGACCATTTTGGGGGGGATTTCTCTCCGTACTTCATCAAGATACTCTTAAGTCTAATAATCTAACATTCGGTAGATGTGGAAAAGGACTGTTTCCAAAACAGAATGGAAATTCAAATATTGTAGTAAATATTATACGGAATGATTAGCTCTTTTGTCTAACAATATCCACATTAAGATTAGAGATGACACATCATGGGTTTAATTACTTGTACTGTAAAGGGCATAGCAAGAGACACAGTTTCCTGTGAAACTTGCAATATCCTGTCCAAAAGGATATTTTGAAATACTGTCTTTGAGAATATGCTTCAGAAATTTGGAATAACAGCTATGTAACTTCTTATCCATGATATAGAGTACAGTCATAATAATGCCAATAATGCCCAGGTAATTGTCATAGCAACTGTTAACGTACATTAGCATACTGCTAATCAGCTGATAACAATGTATGATGATGAAATATAGGTACTTTTAAAAATACTTAGGGACAAAGCTAGAGCGAGTTAAAAAAAACAAAGAAATCATGAGTAATAAATGAATTCAATTTTACAGAACTGTTTCCCTGGGTCTCATTTTTATTTAACATTGTGACCTTTTTCACCAAATCAAGAATGTGTTGAAGCTGTTTTAAATAATTTTGTTGTTCTTTTGTATGATTTGTCTATCTGTAGTTTTGAATGTTCTACTTACTGTTGAACTAAGAACGGATATTGCTGTACCGATCATAAGCTTTTCTGCTTATCTTTTGGACATCTTTGGTTTAAGTGTAGCTAATCAAAAGAATGATCCTATATAATGATTGAGCTTTGCATAAACGTAATCAAGTCAAAAAGAAAAATGATTAGCTGAGAGTGGTAATTTTTACTGAGTACCTTTGCAATTTGTACATAGTTAATTCTTCTTATTCTCTACAGACAACTTATTGTTTTGTATGGTAGTGTTAGGAAAACTCAGCCTAATTTGTTAATGTTTCGCCAGGATTTTCCAAGTTCGACGATCTTATACAAAATATAGTTTTCTGATGAAGTACAGAGTTTTTCTGGCAGTTACTTGTTCACTAAGTAATTTGAAAGAAAAAGAAAAGCAGATTTTCTCCAGAAGAAAAGAAACTTCAACTCTTTGACAAGGTTTTTTTTTTTTTTTTTCCTGCAAATGGTTTGAGCTGGGTAGCACATACAAAGTTTATATAATTCTTCATTTTTTACTTCAGAACCTACCAAATCACAGCACTTGTTGATAAAGGCCTCTGAACTCTTGACTGCTTGCTATTACTAGGAAAAAAGTAAAACCTTACAATAAGCAACGCTAGATAAGGAAAGAAAAGAGGCCTATATATTTTATTATACAACTTTGTCTTCATTTAATGAAGTACAAACACCACATTAGTCGCTTAGAATTGAATTTGGAGTTACTTACAGTACATAAGAAAAGCATAACATGAAAGGGCAACCATGAAAAACCAGAGTTATGTTACACAATGTTTACTCTGGAAATTGCTATACTACAGCAAACAATAGACAAAGAATTATGTGAATTAACAAGTATACTTATTGTAGAGATATATGGATTTGAAATAATAGGCAACAATAGGCCAAAAATGAAAGTAATCAAATAAAGCTCTTAAGAATAGGAGACAGAACTATGGAAAAACTATGGAAAACTATGGAAAAAATACCCAAACACACAAACCAACAACAAAGCGCCTTTTAAAACTACCATGAGAGGTAATGAGTGCCATGTAAAATAATTCAAAGAGGAAAGACACTGGAAGATGCAGAACTGCATATATTCATTCAGTGAGCATGTGACATAGATAACTGTATTAGTAGAAACTACAACTTTTATAGACAGATGTCATTAAAAAGAAAGAAAGAAACAAGAGGAGCATCCATACTGTCTACAGCAGCTTAGAATACCACAGCCAAATTGTACAAGCAGCTCTGAAAGAAGAGCCTATTAAGAGATACAGAGTGTAAGAAAGTTGCCTTCTTTAGAGGTAATTCAGTAACAAATACAAAGCCTCCTATAAATCTCAAAGACATTTGAAATGGCAAAGAACAATGTAGTTTTCAGTGCTCTGAATGTGAAATTGCAAACCTATTCACTGCTGGGTCTTCCCAAAGCTCTGAGAAGATCAGGAATAGTACAGCTCACCAGAACATAAGGGACAAAGAGACATCAAAATGTACCAAAAAGAAAGATATGAAAAGCCTGACCAATCAAAACATGGATTATGAAAAGTATAGGAAAGACAGGATAATCATTTAATGGGAATGTAAATTTTGTGATTTTAAGGTGTAGAACTACACAGATACATATTCTATGTAGTACTAACCTTACTTTGTTCTCATAATCAAGGCTGTTAAATGATGACCACAAACCAAATGTACCTTCAGCACATATCTGGTGAGAGAGACAGACATCGTGTTCTGCTGATGGTTTCTTAGTTTCATTTGCACCATTAGGAAAGATGGCAATGTGCAAGTGTGCAACAACTGTACTGTGAACCTACGCTATAAATATATTGTCTTGTTATCCAGAGGTTTAGCTTTTCTGCATTTATCATGGCAGCTCATCTTTAACTACAAAGCACCATTTCAAGTTTCCAGACTCGTTAGAATTGGAAAGCACAATAAAATCCTTGGGAAGTTGTATTCTTGACAATGGTAACAAGCGCCCTAAATGCATCTACAGAAAGTAGAAATCACGTTCCTAACTGTCATTCTACAAGCTGAGTTATGTCCTTTAAAATAGGACTATACGCACTATCCTGACAGGATTTGCCCTGACTATAATCGGAAGGAACTAATACATAAGGATAAATGATGTAAAACTTGAAAATGATATAACACAAGTAGTTTCTACATGGTCAAGACACCTTTTATATGCCTTTAATGAAAAAATAACATCACTATAATGACAAGCTTTCAGCTTGCGAATTTTCCCATACGTCTGTATTTCCTTAGCCTGCATTTCCAGAACAGTTCCCCCCTTCATTTCAGCAGAGGGCAGTCTGACAAGATCAATTCCTAATCAAGCAGTGATTTAAAATGTTTTTTTTTTTTTTACTCAAATCTGAAAAAATTGTGATCCTGATTTTAAAAGACTAAACTGTTTTCCACATTCCACTTTGGGTCAAGGGGAAATCAGATTGATAATTGCTTCACAGTCCTGGAGAATCATCCTAAGACAGAAACTTCAGAGCATCTTTAAAAAGATGCCCTGTTCACACAGAGGGAAGAACTCTTTAGGTGGCTGATTTTTATAACTGCTTGGTAAAGTTGTTTCTTTTTTTTTTCCCACTACAAATATGATTGTTAAGCTCCTCTGTCACAACACCCACTATAACATGAAGAAAAAGGCTCTTTGGCTAAGCTATCTGCATATGAGACACTGCATATAACCAAAATTTGAAAGTCAGACTCACTGGATGTGATCCTACAATCAATGGAGTGACTTAGAAACCATGCATTCAGGAAGCAGGAGGGCATGGCTAATGTATTTGAAATTCCTTTTATTTCC